CTGATATCTGATTTAATTTGGAATTTCTGTCTCCTGACTCTCTTTTATCTGCTTGCTCGACTAATTATGACATAATACTTCTCACAACACCATGATTTTATCATGATTCATTGCTAAATATAACGTTTGTTCATCCCTTATGTCAAGATTAAGTTAAAAACTATTAGAAYTTGAGAGACACTAATAATAATATTTTTCAATAGCTTAGAACTATAATTAAATGGATATAAGCAGTCATATTCAGTCAACATTTAACCCATCAATAAATAACAATAAACCAAGGATGACTATACATATATATGGCTAATGAAATATAAGATCAAAAGTCAACTATCAATAACAAATTCGTTTAAAGAAGATGCTAAAAAAAAAAAAAAACTATCAGTAACAAATTGAAATAAGTCCAAGACTCCTAAGTCAATAAGAAAATCTCACAAGTCACAGTAAACTATAAATTATAAAGTTTCAATAAATTATAATAACTATTAAGTCAAGTAAATAGTAATCTTCAGGAAGCATCATTCATTCATTCCTTTCGTCTTGTAAATATATATAGCTTGCAGCTTTCTCTATGCAATTTTTGAAACCTAAACAAATAAAAAATAAGCTATAGTTAATTTATTAGAAATTAGAAAACATAAACATATATATAATTTTGCAATAAAGTTCCAAACCTTTTTCAACGAGAGAAAACTCCTTCCAAATGTGATCGAAGATCAACACTAATTTCATTATAACAAACTTTGTGTACAAAAAAGAGTCTCAACTATAATAGAACTAGTGTAGAGCGGAAATGATTAATTACTCTCCCATTAATACTGAATGCAGACTCAAAAACAGTAGTAAACATAAAATTGCCAAAAACATCTCATGCAACCTTGCTAAGAACCATGTATTTAGAATAGGGTACTTTCCACCAATCTAAGATTTTAAAATTCTCATCCATTTTTGTATGACGCTCCAACAAGTAAACATCTACCTTTGAATTCACATTTACACTGTCATCTTTAGCATCTTTCATACTAGCAAATTGAAAGTGAAAATGATTTAAAACGCTATTCTTTAGTAGAAGCAATGGTAGATTGACTCACTCGAAATCTTTGAAGTAGGATGGACATTCTTAGGCAATGATAAACTATACTCATTCAATAGTAATCTCAAAATATCTTTACACTTTCTTTTCCAATTTCCTTTGCAATGTTAGCCTCAAATAGCTGGCTGAAACAATACAGGAGAAACTTATGACAAGGGCCTAGACAAAAACACAATATATATAATAAGTAATTCGACTTTTCACTATTTCCCCAATATTTATCATATTTCAATTGCATTTTGGTTGTAACTATAACAATAATAGGGCTACCACTATCATAAGGGTAGCTTCTTATACAATTTTGGATGGTAGAAATCTCATGAAATACTGTACTTAAAGTAAAGTATTATAAAGAAAACAAGAAATTTTGAGAGTTGCTTCATAAAAATGTAGATAAAATTAATTTAGTAAATGCAGCAACTCCCAATCGGTACTTTTTGGATTATGATCCTCTCTTATATTAAAGTATGTTATATCGTGGTCTTCTAGTCGTTCAAATGCCTTCTCAAATTTTTATTTTGTCTCAAGCATTAAGTATGTCGAGTTCCACCTAGTTGGAATAATGTTAAGACATAAAAGACTGTTGGTAGACATATTCTCCTCTTCGATACACTTCTTAAATTTACCAAATCGAGTAAGAAAAGGATCTAACAAATTTTACAGCATTTCGAATTCCAATCACCGACTCATGCCCATCTTTCAACTCATCACTCACAATCAAATTCTAAATATGCATGTTCACAACACCTAACATGTAGAAACTGTCTATCTAGCACCAACCCTCAGGGGTGTTAAAAAAATCCGATGACCCGACCAACCCGACCCAAATTGAAAAGGTTGGGTTGGGTTGGAATTTTTGAGAATCGAAAATTCGGCTCGGTTCATGGGTTAAACCAATTTTTGGTCTGTTCAACCCGAACCAAACCGAACATTAAAAAAAATTATATATATATATATATAATATTCGGGTTTTACTTTTAACTTTCTCCCTCTCCCCCCTCCTTGCGCCTCCCTCCCGTCTCTCATTTCCTTGCCTCCTTCTTGTTAGCTTTATGAGCTTCAATCATACTAAATGTTTTGATGATATCAAACTTTATTTACTAATGATTTTACTGTTTCAAAGTGCCTATTTCATAGAGCTCACAAACACGAATCCAACACCTTTTGAATCACTCGAATCGGAGTTTAAACGAAGAAATTATGGTCAAACTAAGTCAAGTGAACCAATCCTACGTGGTAAGGGACGTGACATTTAATAGTCAAATTATGCCACCAGGATAATGATGTGACAGTAATGTGGCATAAAAAATTTTGGTGATGTGGACAGTTCATGTGACGATACCTCACGCTTTCAATCTCAACAAATCAAATTCCCACAATTCTCTCAATTCCACAATCTTCTCTCAATTTCACATGATTTCTCAATCTCTACCAATTTTTCCAAATTTTCATAATCCTCTTTATCGTTTTTCTTATCTCTACTTTTAATTTGCATCATCCATCATTTGTTCCCCTAAATCTAATAGCCAAATTTCTTCTTCAAAACTCTATTTAAGGCTACCAAATTTCACTATTCTTCGCACCAATTATCAAAGTAAACATCTTTCTCCCTTCAAGTTATTGTGTTCTCATATTTTCATTCTTTTCATACAAAAAGTTGTCCATATTTTTTTGTTTGTGAGAGATACATTAGGGTGTAGCTTTTTTAGCTATTATTTTAGTACGGAATTTGTAAATCTACCTTTAGTGAGGAACTTTATTTGTATTGCTTATTTCATATTTTGGATTTTATATTGAGATGTGCGTACATCTTGGGTTGTGAGAAAACATAAATGGTTGGATCCTAAATCAATAAAAAGAATCGTGAGTTTCTCTTTAGCCTAGGATAAAAAGATGGTTGATCGGTTTGGTTCTCACCGCAAGAGAGTGGTTGCACTAAAATACCCAATAAGGAGTTTTGAGGAGTGGAGTAGGGATTTCCGAACCACTATAAAAATTTATGGTGTCATCTCTCTCTACTCTTTAATTTGTGCATTTAAATTTCGTTTGATTTTTTATTATTCTTAAAATTGTTTTTTAAAATGTACAAGTTCGTAAGCAACCTATTCACCCCCTCTAGTACTGTTCTCATCTCGATCCTATACTTCTCTCACTTCCCTCAATCTCCTTCTCCATCATCTCACTTCTCTCAATCTAACTCATCTCCCTCCTCTCTCAATCTCACTCATCTCTCTCCCTCGGCCTCTTCGTTTCCCTTTTCATTGAACGCTACAACTTTGAGGTGCTTCTCCTCTCTTTGTTTTTGTATAGTTTATTTTAGCTTTCTTTTTGTTGTTATGAGAAACCAGTCTCTTAAACCCACAAGTTTTGGTGTGATTTTCACGCTTCTTTTACTGTTTTTCATTCATATGGATTTTCAATCCTTGCTTCCATATTTTTTTCCCTCTTTGGCTTAACCATCTGTGCCTTCTATGTTACTTGTTGTATTTGCATTTTCCCCTTACAACTCTCTCTGATTGGAACCCGATGATCCAACCTAACCCGACCCGACCCGAAAATTGTAGGGTTGGGTTGGCTATCAATATTGGTTCGTTTGGGTCGACAAACTAACCAACCCGAAAATTTGGGTTGGTCCAAAAAGATCCATTAACCCGACCCAACCCGTGAACACCCCTACCAACCCTTGTTTGAAACACTTAACTAGATAAGCAATAGCAGTATCATTCGATGAAGCATTATCGACAATCAATGTCAACACCTTTTCAATCCTACATCGTTTCAAACAACTTTCAACTTCCCTTTCTATGGTCTCTCCTTTATGACTATCAATTTGAGAAAAATTGATGACCATCTCATGCAATTTCCAAGTACTAATAAAATATGCACAGACAAGACCATATGGTTAATATTTTGATAGGATGTCCAATTATCAGTTATGAGTGAAATTTTAGAATATATACCCTTGATCCATAAAAAGTGATTTCATGAGCTTGTTTTTTGTGTAGTATATATTGCTAAAATATCTTTAGCAATTATAGTTCGAGAAGGGAGAACAAACTTTGGATCCAACAAGGTCGCCTCACAAATATGCTAAATCCTTGGCTCGCCACAAATCTAAAGAACAATTCATGAATTATGATAATCAGCAACCATTCTCTACACTAAAAATTTCACATTTGAGATAGATATTTACCACCATATTGTCAACTATGTTATCAATATTTTTAAACCAAATTTTGTCAAGATGCATCTTTCGTCTTTGTGTAAGGACATTTTAGACAATAACTCTCAATATGTAATCTCATTGTCAATGTCCCATTCCTTTTTGTATGACATGCATATATTCTAGCTTGAATATCCAACATCATTCGAGTCATCTCTTCTTCAATTATATTTCTTTTTGTTTTTTAAAGCATCCAAACAAGAAATTTTAATTTTAACGATTTGAATCTATTTAGTTCCAAACACAAACAAGAATTTGAAATTGTTTCCATATTCTAAGATCGTGAATTTATTTATGATCAATTCCAAACACCAAACATATAATGACCGTAATATTATTGGTAGTAGTATAGTAGGTTTGTGGTTGAATGAGGATCCTCTCCCTAATTCAAGCCCCGTGGGGCACGTAGTTGGGGCTTTTCGTCCTTCCCTTCCATTCGAGGTCGAGTCTCGCAATGTTGAGTGACCATCGACACCCCTTGTTTATAGGGATCCAATAGGCGAAGCCATACGACATCGATTCTGGATTATAAAAGAAAGTAATATTATTTATATAATAAATAAATTGTTAAAATAAGAATATTACTATGAGATAAAATAAATCAAAATTTATTATTTTTGTTTGAGACATTTGTATTTCTATTTATGTTCTTTTTGCCTTTTACTCCCTTTTCCGAAACTCAAGTGTTGTGAAAGAAACTCTGAAATTCGTTTTCCATTTCTCTTTCCTACTCATTTACTCGAAGAACCCCTATTGTTGTTCTTTCTTCTCTTATCAGTCAGTCATCAGCCAAACCACTACCGCTTTCTTCCACTATCTCTCCAGTCCGCCATTTCCACACTTGGATCATTCCCATTTTTCACCCTTGTTCATCTTCATCAGCTCCTCAATTTGAATTTCAGCTGCTGGGACTTTTGCTGCCCAAAGGGTTTCGGGGCCAATGGAATCGGAGGACGAGCTCGACATGCACGATGCCCACGACGACGACGACGAAGACAATGAGGACGCCTTCTACAGTGGCGGCGACGATGATGCTGCCGCCATCGACAGCGACGATGCTGATGTCGGCGATTACGAGTTTATTGATAATGATTCCGACGATTCCGACGATATGGTCTCCTATCGGCACCAGGTTGATTTTGTTCCCAATCCCAGGTTTATCTGAGTTTCGAACCTTTCGCGTTTCCCGATTGGCACTGACAATTAGTAGTTTTAAGCGTTGATGGTGAATACTCGTATTCGCCGATTTCAGTATTGTACTCTCTACTAATCTCAATCTCAATTTCGACTTATATCTGCTTTCCTTCTTTTTCTTCCCCTCGTAGAATACGAGATTGGGTTTTTCTTTTTTTTAGCCCTTCTTAGAAATGCTTAACTAGAGCGTGTGCCGGACGATCTTTCCTCTCTCTAGTCTCTATCTCTGAAATCTAAATGAAAACAGCAACCACATTAATCTTAATAATTTTTGTCATTCTACTGATACGGGGTTTGTTCTTTTTCTTTTTTTTTTTTCCGGTTTTGATGGTTTAATTGATTATTTAAGTGCAATTAAAATATTGAAAATTGTTAAATTTAGGTTTATATGTTGAAATATAGAATATATGATACTTTTCTGGAAGAATTTGAGAATTTTAGAGTGTTCCAGTCCTCGTGGAGTTCGAGCAATGGTACCTGGTCGGTTTTAGTAGGCAGAAGCTAAGCCTACTGGTAGTGGCTTGTATAATTTTTTAAAGATAATAATAAGAACAAGAGTCAACCAAGAGGATCTTTTGTATCTGCCAAGCCATGATTCCTTTATGGTCGTCCAAGATTGGCCGGTAATCTGGTGGTTTAGGCGATTGTAGGGCAAAGTTTTAAGAATCATTGGAAGGTTTTGTGGACTAATGTTTGTGGTGCTCTTCTCTAGAACATGTGGCTAGAACATTATAGAGAAAAGTAAAAATTCAAGGGTGAGTAGACAGGAGAGAGTAGCTTTGGGAAGATATTGTTCATCGTGTCTCTCTGGGCCCTAAAATCCAAGTACTTTTGCTACAACGTAACAATTTTGATGAGTAGTTGGAGATCCTTTTTATAACTCTGATCTTTTTACGTTATCTTTCTATTTAATGAGAAGATTTTTTCTTGTAACAGAAATTTCTGTATGGTTGACTGTTCAATTTCTCAAACACAGATTTAAACTGTTCCAATAACTCAGCCACTTCGGGTGCCATGGCCTCGCATCGGACTGCCTCAATATTTGAATCCCCTTCTTGCTTTGTTGTCTTAGTCTAATAAGATACCTCTGGCTGTTATTGGCCCTCGATTTGACCATGGATTTTAGTGAGGCTTCAGTGTAAGTCAGACTGAGATCTCCTTCTTAGGACCATTGATCTCCAGAAAATTTGACCTTCATGTCCAGGGTCCTACAATCTATCTCGATATATACTACCCAATTTTCTTAGCTGGGACATTCCCAAGATTGTATCGATATAACATTCATAAGGTAGGAAGTTCTCTATCAGACGTACCCCTTGTTTAGAAAGACCCCTCCTCAACATTATCCCTTTACTTTGACAGAAATTCATATCCCCATTGGATGTTTTGGAGATTGGAATATTATGTTTTGCACTAGTTGGTACAAAAAAAAAATTGTGGTGTAGTTCTATTTCAGTGAAAAAAAAAAATTGTGGTGTAGTCCCACATTCGTGGGAACCAACAGTTTGGTCTAGTTCAACTTGCCTTAAGCTTCATGAACTAGTCAATCCTACCATAAAGTTAAGTGATAATTCAGTAACCTCTTCAATCTCTAGGAGAGGAGACGTAGGTTAAGGTTCCACTTCTTTTTCTTCCTTATCTTTCGAGTCATTTGACCAAACAACTCCTTCAATTCCTTTGCTTGTAGTAATGTATCACTTTAAACTTCTCATCAAATTGAAAATGGAGGCCCTTCTCTTTCTTGGCCTTCAATTTAGCTTCAAATTAGTGTTTGAAGGGTTGAGGCTTTGCTTGACTAAGTGTTCTCCCCATTGCCACCATTCCGTTCAAAATGGTTCTAGACCATTAGCTGCATTTCGAGCTGCCCATGGCACGTGCAGAGTTTTTGGTGGGTTGATGAATCTCGGAATGAAGATAGGGCTTGATTGTTATCTTTTAAGTGCTCGGCCGTCTACATTATTTCATCCAACCCATTGGGTTTTAGCATCCTTATTTCAGCTCAAATTACTGTACTCAGCCCATTGATAAAGGCATTTCCCAGCACCTCATCCTATGTATCTAGTAACGACTTGGCCAAGGTATCAAACATCCGTTGGTATATTGCCTAGAAGCTACTCATTGATACCATGATAATGGGTCTCCCTCAAAATTGCCTATGGGTTTTTCTTCTTGTTTTTAGACAATACATGAATTTTGAAGAATCTCTCTCTACTCGAGAGTCGAGACAACCAAGAATTTCGAACCCCTCACATTCTAGCTGATTATCTCTTAAAGACTAAGGGACCTTGATGGAAGATGAAGGACACTGCCGTAACAAACTGCATTCCAAAATTATAATGAACAATCCAACCCAAATCCTATAGAATTTATAGGCATTTCCAAATATCTCTAAAATATAATGTCAAGTGAGATAAAAAAGTAGAACATGCAACTGGGAAAGTAGTCATTGCTACTTTCCTCTCCATTGAGTTCGTTTTTCTTTCAAGCTTTTACTTGGTTTAAATGTTCTCTCTCCATTTTCAAACTATAGCACAAATGATCATTTGGCTAACTGGAA